AAGGTCAAATGTGCTCACCTTAAAGAAATCCACCAAGGTTTTTTGGTCGTATTCGCATTCTCTTTGTTCGAGGTACTAAAACAACAACAAAGAGTAAAAAACTTTGATTTTTAATACAATGTCTAATTATTCAAAAACCATGGCAAAAGATCCGATTTTTCATAGAAAATAAAACAAATTTGTCGAAAAACGGGTCTTTGAGGTTCTAAAAGTCTAAAACAAAAAAAAAGGAGTCAAATTTGACATTAAAACGACATCTAAATGTCCAAAACCATGGAAAAAAAATCGATCTTTTATGGAAAATAAAACAAATATATGTTCGATGTACTAAAACAACAACAAAGAATAAGGCCTTGACATTAATACAATATAATTATCCAAAACCATGGCAAAACAAAAAATGATTTTTCATGGAAAATAAAACAATTTGTCGAAAATGGGTCTTCGTTCGAGGTACTAAAACAACGAAAAAAAGTGGAATTTGACATTATTACGACATCTAAATGTCCAAACCATGGAAAAAAATCGATCTTTTAAGTGGAAACTAAAACAAATTTATGTTCGATGTACTAAAACAACAACAAAGAGTAAAACCTTGACATTAATACAATATCTAATTATCCAAATATAGCAAAAAATCGATCTTTTATGGAAAATAAAACAATTTTGTCGAAAACGGGTCTTCATTCGAGGTACTAAAAGAACAACAAAGGGTCAATCTTGACATTCATACAACATCTAAATGTCCAAAACCGTAGAAAAAAATCGATCTTTCATGTTTGTCGAACATGTAAAAGAGCATAAAATGTGCATACCGCCATTGCTGCCTTTTCCTTCTCCGGCCCACCACGAACACAATGAGCAGCTCCCCACTAATAGAGAGAGAGAGAGATCATATATTAGCCATGAGAAAAGGTAAAAAGAAAAAAGGACCACATTGTAAATTACCATAAGTTGCCGAAAAAGCGAAAAGTGAAAATAATTATAAACATAAAATTAAGGACCACATTAGTAAGAGACAACCTTAGAGCCAACACATTGCTAGTCAGACAATGGATAAGGCAACAAGCATTTAAGACAACACAAAAAAAGACTACATATTCATAGGGAAAAAGATTCCTAATGAAATCTGTTAGAAATGTTCGAAAAAGCCATGATTCCGAAAAGAAAATCGAGCACTGTTTTTTCTCGTTTTCGAGCTTACGCATATAGCTCCTTCAAACTTTTCCAAGGTGCATGTTCTTGCAGGGTGCTCAGGGGTGCCTCTGTGATCAATGCAGGCTGAAAAAATGGGGGCAAACAAATAAAGAAACAAAATATCAAGCAAATGCACAAATTAAACTGTTAATAAATCATTTATGGGAACAATCATTAACCAAATTTCATATGGACACTGCAAAGACAATGAAAATACACCTCAAACAAAGAACATCTGCCCAAACAACTTTACATGATCCAATAGTACAGTAATTAACAACAAGACTACTTTTTTATTTATTAAAAAAACTAGTTTTTCATAAAGACTATAAAGGGGCCTAAAGCAAATAGCCAAAAATTAAACCAGGGGAAATTTCCACAATGCACAGAATTAAAGAGACAAATTGGGTATTATTATTTAGAAAAAAAGAAAAAAAAAAAAGAATAAATTGCAAGATAAAAAAGAAAACTTACCAAGATCAAACACACGCCTGTAGTTCTTAATGAACCCAATCACCTTCTCATCAAATTCAAAAACTGGGTTCCAAATCAATGACCCATAGCCAAAAACCCAGAGCACCATTTTATTTATTCTATTAGGAAAAAAAAAACAATTATATCAAAAGGAGAAAACAATTTTACACTTGCATTGTTAAAGTAGATAAATAAGTAAATGACATTTTAACATTAGGAGAAATATAAATGGGATTTAAATGAGAAAAAAAAAATACTTCTTGAATTTAAGCAAATGGCTCTGATCAAAGGTAAAGGGCAATGGGACCTAATAAGAGAGAAGGAAATTTAGTTATAAATGATTTCTCCTTCTCTCTTATTAGTCTGTAGAACTTGTGTGCTATTGACACGGTGAGTGTGCAGAATTACAGTGCCTTAATTTAAATAGTTTAAGGAGGGGGGCTACTTTGCAATTCTAAATATTGTGGGGGAAAGATTATTCTTTATTTTATTTATTTAACAAAAGAGGGAAAGGTGAAAATGTAAAGTATGCATTTGTTTGTTTTTTAAATTAATATGAGGCGACCACGATTAAGTTAGGTAAGAATTTAGTCTAGTCGAACATGAATCGACGTTCGTTTATATTTAAATTTCATCTTAATTTAGTCTTCAACATTAACGAAATCGACATAAATGAGCTTTTTAATGGCGAATCTTGAATTGAGTATTAACGGTGAAAAATGTAATTTCAATATATACATTCCGTTATGAGATATTATAGCAATTACACATATTCTCTATCATACTTTTTAAATAAAAATTGTATATTTATTCTGTAAAAGATTATATTTTCATTGATTTCATTTTTTATATGGCAATTCTTTGTAGAACATACAAATTTATTAAAAAAATACTATAACTATCTAACGTTGGACTTGTTTGACGATATTATACTACTGTTTCAATATATAGATGAAAAATGGTTGAAAATAGAAATAGTTTGATAGAATTGAAACTTGTAATGATTTTATGTCTTTTGATATTCAGTAATTAAATACATCATATATGTGATATGTCTATACATATATTTTACATATTTCAAATGCCTTTTTTTCTCATAGATTATTATGTTGATTGATAAAAATTATGACGGCAACCTTGCAAATTTTATATTAACAAAATAATCTCATTATTTTATGGATTATCAAATGTAACATGGTATACATCTGCATGAAAATATCATACTTTTCTCAATCTGGCATGGAATCAGATTATGATAAATTGACTTACAAATTACACATTTATATTCTATCTTTGACCGAGATACATGATATTATACTTTATATGGTAAGCCTTATTAAAGTAATATTAATGCAATGCGAGGTTTGGTGTATTGTTTTATTTCATGTTTTCTACTATCAAAATATAGAAATTCTATTCGTTTGAATTTTGAATTAAAGTTGTTATTTTCAATTTAGATTAAAGTGAAAAACAAAACCATGTTTCAAAATATTCAATCATTATCAAATTTCGATTGCAATTTGGAATCTTAACACAAGGTATGTTGGTGTGACAAGAGACCGACATACAATTTAGAATCTTAAGTCTTAACACAAGGTTTGAGAGCATGAATCAATAACCCACAATTTAAGTAAACAATTTTAGTATTATTAAAAATTTCTAGGTTGTGTTTGTTATTTTAAAAATTTCTAATGGTTAGGCTATCTCACACAATAATTTGTGCTTACAAGTTTGACGAAGATATATTTAAATTGACCTTTTATTCTTAAACGTTAATATTGAAAAAAGTCTTGCATTAAAGCATAATGATAATTGGGCTCAATTTTTTTCAATTCTTGATTTATTGTTCATTTTTTGAAAAGTATAATCTGCAAAAAAAGAATGAAAACAGAAAATTAAAAGAATTCATAACTGAGCGAGCCATTAAAGTTGAAAAAAATATACAGTTATTGATACAATGAACCTGGACATTTTTCCATTAAATTTGGTGAAAAAAGGTTTGAAAATCTTGTCCATATTTCCGCGCACCAAATTAAGGTTGATTCTCCGACAGATTTAGATTCAGTGAATCTGGACACTACACTCGTTAATCAGCTCATTAATTGACCTAATTAAACAAACGTAAGTTTCATAATAGCCAAAAAATCTGATGCATAATGAAAAACTAATCTAAAAATTTTGTCTATTCACTTAATCTCTTTGCATTAAAAATTTAATAAATGTGCTCTCAAATATGTATTTCTTATGTCTATTTGTTCCGTTTTCTTTTATTTCTTTTCCCCCTTTTTCAGACAGATACAATTTCAGTATCATTTTTCGATACATTATAGGTCGTATGTTTTTAATTTTTATAGCCGTCCAGAAGTAAAAAAATCAACAAATGACTGTGCATTGACCTGCCAAAAAAATGTGGACGACTAAAATATTGGTACAAAACTGTTATTTTAAATTCAAATTAACCAGATATATAATAAAACAAAATAAAATCTCATTTCTAGTACAGTTGACTAATCAGTTTTGCCCAATTCCAACAATTTACTTCAAGATAAAACAATGGTACATGCAAATACACATATTCTGAAGTAAGATGGTGTAATAATTAGTCTGGTCGATTTTTCAATATTTTAACAATTAGTAGATCTTACGTTAAATAGGTCTCGTTTTGGTAGGATCAACTTATAATAAACGTGAACTTATCTCATATGTTTATCAGTTAATTTTATAACATTTTTATTATATTAGATAATTTTGTAGTCATGAGTGAATAACCAATATATAAAGTCATCAATTAACTTATCATTAGTTAATTTTCAGTTAAATCTGCCAAACACATGTTA